GTGGCTCAGTGTAAACGGGAGACTCCAGGCATGTCACACTCCTTTGTAATGCACTTTTGCCTTTTCAGCTCCCTTCCTGTAGGGAGGATGCATGTTCTGTGAGCATGAAGTTCTTCTCTAACCTGACAACCTTTTTTCCCCAGCTACTGACATTTGACTCATGATAGGAATGCTGGTTCTGCTGGACTAAACTTCTCCCACTAAACTTCCTCCTCCTTTTATTGAAATTACCTACTAACTCATTTTTATTTTACAGCCTTATGTCTGGATTACATCTGCCTGTTTAACAGAAGTGCTATGTGTTACTGAGAGAAAGCTGTAAAGCAATGTGTACGTGGGCCTGCACTGCCACACCTGCTGGATCTCGGGAGTGGTCTGTGTTTTCTATTTGAGGGACTACTTCTGGGAGGAAACTGTCAGGAAAAAAATCAGGAGCTAGAAACTAGCTAAATTCCAAGTGGAGAAGAGGGTAATTAGTTATTGGAATAGCTGTGTGCAGGGTACAGTAGCCACGGTAACACTTGAAACTTTTTATCAAGAATGAATATCCTTCCAAAGGATGTTCGCTCATATATTAGTCTTGATACTGAATTAGTGGAAAAAAAATTCTGGCCTGTGTTAGGTAAGAGGTCAAACTCTCTAATTAGTCTCTCCCTACCACTACAAGATCTGTTTGTCTATTAATGATTCTCTCTCTGTGAGATGAGGATGGGAAAGAGGGCAAGGAAGGTACTGATCTTCTGCCTGTAAAGTATTATCAAAGTCTGCCAGATATACAGGTAAACGCGGTCAGAGTTGGGCGTTGGTGCTCCTGAATATTTCAGGCGTGTAGGGTGACCCAGTGTGCAGCGAAACAGCTAGGCATGAATGCTCGGGTTCAGGTGATACTGAGAGCTGGCTTCTTCAGTGAAAAAAGGCAGAGCCAGACATTCGCTTCTACTTTTGGTTAATTATTGGGTGATAGTCCTGAAGCAGTTATTTCAAAAATAGCTTCTTTAGCTTGAATTTTTAATTTTAATTAACATTTAATTTTTAGTCTGGAATAGTATTTGCCTTCTTAGCATTCATAATTCCTGGAGCAATTGATCCTGGAAAGAGACTTGCAACTATGCAGCCTTGATAAGCTTGCAGTAGATAAAACAAAATATCCCTTAATCAAATTCATCAGTTATCAGTCTTTGGCAACTCATGAAATTCTCTGTCCTTTTCTGGGACATGACACGTGGCCCTGTGTTCTGTGCATCAGGGCAACACCAGTGGAGTGCAGAGTGCCTCCTGTAACACAACAGCTCCGTGGTCCCCTTAAAACATTACATTTGTATTTTTGTGGTCCTGTCCCTTAGGAAGCTATTGCAGGATAGAATAAAGCTCGTTGAGGTCCACTCCGGATATCTTGGGAATCTTCGAATGAGGACGTAGGCAGACGCAAGGGTTTGGAAAGGAGAATTCAGAATCCAAGAAAGCTCAATCGCTGTATCTTCAAGAAAATATACTGCATTGTGAAATTAAAAACACGTGTGTATGTCATGTCAAAGAACTTTGTGTATGCATGGGATTGTACTTACCTTCTTGGACCACCTGATACTTTAGCCAGAGCGCGTGTTAGCCTGCAAGGAAATCAGACTAGGCCTTGTGTCTTACTCATTAGTGTTTCGCCAAAAACAAACAGACAAACTGACTAACAAAAAACACCCCCAAACCTGCTTGATTTCATTTTATTTAGGGACATGGGGGAGGGGGCAGAAGAGCTTTGGGTTGAAACTACTTCTGAAGATCACTGTTGAAAGGTATTGAAAGATGAACATTTTTCTGGCATATCCAAAACGCACATGTTTCTCATTAGCAGCTGAATGCAAATGCAGACAGAATGGGTTTAGTTTTGAGAACCCTTTTTGGATTGAAAGGAGCTCCGAACGCCTATGGATGAAGTTAGCTGCTAGAGTGTGTAACTTGTCTAAATATAACTATAAGCTGTAGAACAACTTTTAGAATAACTAGTAGAACTTTTAGAATAATGCAACTGAACCAGGTATTACAATGCTCTACTCCAGACAGCAGACCAAGTTTTTAAGTCACAGGTATTTATCATTTCAATGTACTGGTCTAGTTTTCTTTTTGATATGTTCAGGCTTTTAAGTTCTAAATGTTAACATTTCACTGCCTTGGTGTTGTTCTTATTTGGGTACATTCAGAATTGGTTCATCATTTAACTGCCTTTTGCACACTTCTGGATTATGCTGACACATAATCCAGTGTGTCAATTCAAGAATGGCCATTGTCCAAATCCGAAGTAGCACTACAAGTGAACAGGTGCTTTAGCAGAAGTATAGATTGCTCTGAACTAGAGCGGTAAAGCACCAGCAGACCTGCACGACAGTTTGGAGCCCCCAAAATTTGGGAAGCATATTTGAATTCAGGGTGCACAGCGGAACACAGCATGGGCAAGATCTGTTGTATGCGCTGTATTTAATTTTTGTTTCATCATCTCTAAATGGCATTTATTTTCCTGAAAAGCGACTTTGCCCTGGCAGTTCGTCCTACGGCACAGGCTATTGGAGCTTCTTAGATAGCTGAAGATGTAAATAGTCCTGCAGCAGTGTTTCTGAAACTGTGCAGATATTTAACACCCACTGAGTAGCTTCCAAGTAAATTGCTCAGTTTGCAAGTGCAGGTGACATTGTTGGATGGTTTGCTTATTTTGGGTCTCGATTTCCAGTCTGAAATTGGGGAGCCCTAGCTTAGTTCTTTAGCGGTAGATCTTCAGGAAGGAAAAACTAATGAGCTATGAATGATGTTGAAAGAAGTGCTGGCATTTAGCACGGAGTGAAAATGGAATGAGGTAGGGCCTTGCTGGACCACCTTTATTTATTTAGGTGTAATTTTTTCTGGCGTTTTAAGATCCCCCCTTTGACTGCTACTCTTAAGAATTAGACTTTTCCCGAAAGGAAACTACCCTGGAGATGCAGTATTTAGTGTGAGGGAGAAGTCATTGCTTATCCTTTCCTAGTAATGTGATTCAGAAAGTGGAGTGGAGTAAAACAAAGGGGAGGGAGTTAAACGGGTAATTTTCTGCCCATCTGTTTCGAGAAAAATCCTACAGGTTGAGATTTTTGATTTCACAGACCAAGTCTGAGTCTGTTCGGTGTAAAACCACTGGTGATCACAAGCCTCTCCTGTAGAGCTTGTTCTTTCTATTTGTCCCATTACAGATTTGCCTCCAAGTCTCTCCGTAGGTGCTCCTTATGAGCCCTGCTCCTGAAAATATTCCTGTTCCCACTGCTGTTTGTGTGCCGTGTCCTTTTGGGTTACAAAAGTGAGTCCCCGGAGGAGACAAGAAAATACTCCCTTTTTCTTTCCCTCGGCAGTTGCAAAGGGGAAGGCAGTGTGAGGCTGAGGGAGCTGGGCCTGTTCAGCCTGGAGAAGAGAAGGCTGAGAGGGGATCTAATCAGTGTCTATAAGTACCTCAAGGGAGGCAATAAGGAGGATGGTGCTGGCCTCTTTTCAGTGGTGGCCACTGACAGAACAAGAGGTAATGGCCACAAAGTGAAGCACCAAAAGTTCCACAGGAACTTAAGGAAAAATTTTTTAACAGTGAGGGTGACAGAGCACTGGAACAGGCTGCCCAGAGAGGTTGTAGAGTCTCCTTCTCTGGAGATCTTCAAAACCCGCTTGGATGCAGTCCTGTGCCACGTGCTCTAGGTGACCCTGCGTGTGCAGGGGGTTGGACTAGATGATCTCTAGAGGTCCCTTCCAACCCTAAGCATTCTGTGATTCTATGATTCTATTCTATGGTCAACGCTCCTCAGTGGGGAGGCTGTTCCTAACTCTGCAATTTGTTTGAGCTGCTGTAAGGGTATAAAGTTACATAAATATGTCTGTTAGGATAGTGAAAAATAGCTGCCTTCTGGTTTTGGAATGCATGGTGGTAATTTTATGTCTAATGCTTGTTCGCTAGGACTTCTGGCCATCAACAATATAGTACCATTGTCTGCTTGTTTTCTCACGATATACTAGGGAGATGAGACAGATACATTCTTACAGGAAGTATCTTCAGGGTGCTTTGGGTGGTTTGTTGGGATTGGCCCTTGTACTCATCATTGCTGATAGAAGTGTAGTGCTCCATGCACTGGTTGGTTTGGAGTATGTATGTGCTTAACAAAGACGAGCATCTTTCTGAATTTAGAAGGGCAGACAAAATAATGACTAAAATGGTCAAAAATCTCAAGTGATTTTCAAAGCCCAGAATCAGTGGCTTAAATGTTTAGGTTATATCACAGAGGCAATATTAAAGAAACCCAAAGTAATATATAAAGACAGCAAATGTCAGCAAGATTTACAATAAATTTTGTATGCCTTACTAATATGCACTGGCATTTAAGCTCTTGGAATATTTCAGAGCTTTCAGAAATACGATTTGAATTCCAAGCTCAGAGGAGAATTGGCACAAAGGAATCTATGTCTTCTTGCCTTTCCATAAAATGGAGCAAAGCAAGCACCTCAGCTCAGCCTGAAGGTTAGCAGAGTCTGAGCTCTTTTGTCTGTCCTTTCTATAATTGTTCTTTTACCATTTAAATCTTTGCTAATTTAATACATTTGTTGTTAGGTGGAGGTTGTTTTGTTTTTCTGGAGTGGGGGAAAAAAACAACCAATGAACAGGCAATAATTGCTCTATCACAATGAGTTCACTGGTTTTAAAGCACTTTGGGACCAGCTGATCCCTGGGGTAGAAAGCATATGTCTTCAGTAACATGCTGCAGTATTTCTGAAAGGCACCTTTTAAAATACGTAGACGAGGTGTCTATGTATTTATTTATAATTTATATGTGTTAACCCCTACAAATACTATTGTCACTAGACATGCATAATGTACCCTGCGTGAGTCTGAGTGGAGCTGATATGCTGGTGGCTGAGTCTAATGAAGCATTTTTGTTCATTTTGATTAGTACTTCTTTGCTAAAGAAGTTTTCGAACAATTAAACATAAATCCACCATTATTTCAGGGGAACCCAGTGCGCCCAAACTGGAAGGTCAGATGGGAGAAGACGGAAACTCCATCAAAGTGAATGTTATCAAGCAGGATGATGGAGGCTCCCCAATTAGACATTATCTGATCAAATACAAAGCTGTAAGTATGCCTGACGCTCGAGCCCAATTTCTGTTTAGCCTGTCCCATACTCAGGCTTCATTACTTAGGCAACTACCACAGCAGACAACCTTAAAGTGAAGAATGTGCAGGTAGGTCAGTTCAGGAAAATATGCCAAGCAGATGGCAATGGTCAAGGGTTGGATAAGAGACATAACATGAAAAGGAGCGACATCTAAAATGTTTTGACTCATTTTCCTTTTCCTGGACTTGAATTATGAAAGGTTATTCCTTGGTGGTAAGCATCTCCAGCAGAACTGTGTGCCTATGGCAACTTTAAGTATTTAGTGTAATTCCGCATCGTATGCTTCAGAAACAGGATTGCCAGCAACAATTTGAATAGCTTGGGACCAAAGCCTCATGGTATGGAGCATTGTTTGACTTCAGACACAGATATGATGACAATGTGGCATTCAAGCTGTCATATTTTATTGCACAGTGGATGTTTCAGTACTGGATTATTCTGCAGATGATCGAGTAAGGGATCAAATAGAATTAAAGATTGAATAAGAAATCAAATCTATCTAGTGGAGAAACAGATAAGGTTAAAGTGTCTATGGCCATATGGAAGATTCTCTTTGAAGCAATTTTCATATAGGCCTAACTAAACGAGATCTCATTGCTGTAAGCTAAACACCCCTTGTTTTGTGTTAGATGGTATTTGATTTTGTTCCTACTGCAGGAAGTAAGATAAGCAATCTTGCTGACTGAGCATTTATTTAACATGTCCTTGAGGAATACGATCTTGGCAGAATGTCACTGAAAATCCAGAGACCCTTAGAGCAGCAGGAAGAATGGCAAGAAATTACTGAAGCTTTGTTCTATTATCTGTACATTTAGTGTCGGTATTAATACACCTTGGGGCAGCTCAGCTGCACCAGTGTTTTTGTAGTAAAACATAGGTGCTTCCCAGCTCTTTAGAAAGCAGGACGCTTTTGTGACTGAATCTGGTAGCTCATGAATTAGTTCTGGCTATTAGTATTGCCAAAGAAAAATCCTTAAAGTCACAGAGAAAATTCGACCCTATTGTCAGGAAATGACAGCAGGATTGCTTACCCACCACCGTTTTGTGCTTTTCTGGTTGCTCGCTCAGAGCTCCTCAGGGGAGGGCCTTTAGAATTTCTAAAGGGCAATCGAGTGTGACAGAACCGTCAATTCTAGTGGAAGTGAAAGAGCTTGTTAGTGCATTCCAGTCTCATCTAGAAGTCTGGGAGACTGGAAGACTTAAGTCCACCTTCAGAACCCTCGGAAGTTAGCTCACTGTCACCCTCATCTCAAAGCTGACTACCTTTGTGCCATATGTTTCGCAGAAGCATTCCTCAGAATGGAAACCGGAGATCAGGCTTCCCTCTGGCAGCGACCATGTCATGCTCAAGTCCCTGGACTGGAATGCAGAGTACGAGGTTTACGTGATAGCTGAAAACCAGCAAGGGAAGTCCAAGCCGGCTCACTATGCTTTCCGAACTTCTGCTCAGCCTACCGTCATTCCAGGTACGCTGGTCGTTAGCTTTACCGTTGTGTTCTGCTTCCAATTAATGCAACAGTGCTGCACCCCTTAATGTGCCTGAGTAAACTCGGACAACTTGCTCGCTTAAAGCCATTATCATAATCAGTTACCCATCCAGAGCTTAGTTTTGCCATGTACATACCTGTACTACAGTCCATGTTACAGTATGTACAGCATTACAGGTACACTGATAAGAATGGTACATGCCAAATCTTGTCTCACAGTTTACAAGGAATATTGGCTCTTGGTATCACAGTGGCAGGATTGCCCAGTGCGAAAAGCAGCAGGCAGAAAATGCTTTTTGAAAACAGAAAGTAGGATTTCTAGTTCAAACCAAAGCAAAAAAAACCATTCAGATCTCTGATGTGATGCTTCTCACGATGCAGGTTTCCCTTCCAAAGCTGCTTCGTGCTTGCTTACTGTTCCTTTGTCCATCTAGTTCAGTCTTTGGAGGTAGAGGTCAGAAAGGGAGGCGTTTAAGATCTTTCCGAAGGATTTTTATTGAATGAAATGGAGATCGAATTAAAGCAATTTTGAAAGCAGCCCTGCTTAAACACTGGATGGGCCAAGAGGGAGGAATAACCAAACTGCATCAGTGTCTTGCTGGAAGCTATTTCAGACAAACTTCGCCTATTAAGGAGCTCTCCTTAAAAAGCAAGGCAGAAGTATAGTGGTGCGAAAACCAGAATTTGAAAGCTGATGAGTTGGTCAATCAGCAAAGTGAGGCCCTCCCTGCAGAGCCAGAATTAGGCATATGCATGCCAAGATTGGTGTTGACAGTCCATGGTGAAGGGAGAGATTTGATTTCATTCTGTCTTCTAGATTCTTAACTGCAAGTCCTGCATTTTTTCATCAAAACGGCTAAAATGTGTTCTCAGTCTTTCCCTTGCACTGAAACATCAATCCTTGTTGTGCCTCCGTTCCCCCCTGCATTCCCTCCTTCTTCCCTCTCTGAAGGTAGAAGCTGAGGGCTTATACTTCATGCATGTTGAAATTCTACCTGATTAAATCAAATAATTAAGCATACATCGAGTGACCTAGGTGCTTGGACATGAAAATATGTATGGCGGGGAGGGGGAGGGAGGTGGGGCACACGAGAGTTGGAGATGTGTTTTGTAACAAGACTGTCGTCCTGGATGAAAGGACCTTCAGTAACCCATTAAACAACTTACATTCCGATGTGCATTTTCAACAGCTCTAATACTTATTACTGTCACCTATTTGAAGGACAACGATGACTGATGTGTTGGGGGGTGGGAAGGTAAGGGTAGTTGGGAAGAGCACTCCTTAAGGGGTTTTCAGACCTCAGTGGTCAAAGGCAGTAGGCTAGGAGCAGGACAGAGCTGCTCTTTAGTGCTGTTGTGTATCAGCCCAGGGAAAAAGGACAAGGGTGGTCACCCTGGGTACGCGGATGCTCTTTCTTAGCCCTTATTAAGTGCTCCACTGGGATGTCGTACCTGGGACAGCTGAATGTTTTGTACAGGTATACTCGTGATCTGTGAGAGCCCTCTTTCCTGAAATACACAGTGTTCGTGCAGTAGCCCTTAGCAATGGGAGGAGCAGCGAGCCCAAGCTCTAAATGAGCGGAAGGATGAAAAATGCCCATTGGCGTGCCACTGCTGTAATTTCTTTGGTCTCCCTGTAATTATTCCACACTTAATCTGATGTGAATCACAGTGAGAGTCAGAATTTGGGGCTGACATTTTAAAATCGGCTCTTTTAATGTTGAAGCTGTATTAAATGGTTCCAGGGGAGCACTTGAAAAAGCAGCCCTCTTTTCAGAGCGCAGGTTTCCTGCAGGGCTGAGCCAGCAGACTGATACACTTGGATTCTCCGAAGGAACGTGCCCTGTTTCAGAGGGAAGTAGAACATTGTGCCATGAAGTGATTGCAGCTACCTTTGCAAGATAGGTGACTCTGCTTCTCTAGCTTTTTCATTTTATGGAAGACTCTGGTTTTTGTTAGGTTTTCAGAGGTATTTTCAGGCACTTTGGTTTCTTGAGTCAATCCCCAAACTAATAATGCTAGGGAAAACAGCCCCTGAGGCAGCTAGATGTTTCTGGCGTGTAAATCACAGGCCTTTCTTGAAATGAAGACAGCTATGTCAAATTGTCGTAAGAAAGGAACTCTGTGTATTAGTTTGCTCTAGCATCTCTTGTCGTTTTCGTGGAGTTTAGCTTCTATAGTTTGATGTTGAAATGAGCTACGTAAAGGGGAGATCAGAACCGCTGACTCTATCCTGATGTCTGTACAGTTTTCCCAGTGCCCTTAAAGTGATTGGAAGCACAAGGGTATTATAGAAACCATTGCATTAGAGTAGTGTTCAGGCAGCTGAAAGACTTATTTGAAAAGTCAGCCCCGTTTTCTGGAGTCTGTCTTGCTTTTGCAGGATTATACTGCTCACCAGGATCTAAAATCTAAGTCCTTGGTACAGGCTTTGGAGAAGAACTTGTTAGGTGGAATGTCTGCTTCGAAAAGATGTAAAGGTTTTTTTTTTTTTTTTTTGGAAAAGGCTGTGGTGTTGTCCTTTCAAATACCAAGTAATTATTTTCTTACATTTCTCACTGAGCCTCATATTCTATCATTCATTTTAATCTCATCTGCTTGCCAATCCCATACACCCTGACTTGGAACCTGCTCTGCAGCTTTTGGCATTGCTGAGCTTCTGAACCTGCCCTTTTGTCAATGTGAATGTGCTAATGCTCTTCTCTAACCTTTAGCCATTTTAATTTACTAAATTAAGTAAACCTTTGATTCTTACGTTTTCTGTATTTATGACCTAATTTTTTTTATCTATTTTTTCTCTCTTTCTCTCTCTTTTCTTTCTTCTTCCTCGTCCTTTCTTCCCTACCCCTTTCCTCCTCCCCTTGTTCCTTTCCTATGTCTGTCTTCATACATGTCACCTGGGACCTCACGGGAAACATCCACGCTTGCCATATGCACCAAATTTGTTTTTAAACAACCATGTTTTCCCCTCCTGGGAACCATTGTCTGGCACCTGCAGCGACCTTGGGAAGTCCATCAACGTCGTCCTCCTTTGTTTCATTGCTTCTTACTGCAATGACTCTCCTTTTGCTCTGTTAGACACTTGAAACAAAATACAGCAATATTTGCTTTAAAAGGCCTGTCTCCTACCAAGGCGTGAGAGCAAATTTGCTTCGGAGGATTGTGTCAGTTCAGAGAAAGAAAGAAAAAAAAAACATAAAAACAATAGATCATTTTACCTGAAAGAGTCAATATTTTGTAACAAAGGGTAGAAAAGATTTAAGCCAAGTGTTTGCTCTTTAATTTTTGTTTGTTTGTTACTTAATATTAATTTGCCCTTTTTAATGAATGTAAAGAGTTTTTTTGTTCGTTTGCTTTATTTTTCATCATAGGAAGTTATAATACTTAAGGCCTTTTGCAATGCTGGTGTTTGCAGATTTCAACGCACATCTAGCATTGATCTTCATTGTTTATGGTGAGAGAGATTTTGAAAGCCCCATCCACAAATTTAAACCCACAGACTAAAGAAAAAAAAAAGAAAAATTGTCAGAGAGAAAGGTATTGGTTGCCCAAATATCTTTGGCAGCTTTTGCATGTGGACTGAAAGTTAAGGCCGTCAGAAGGTTTTCCTCATGGAGTATCCTGAAGAAAAAGATCTTGGTAGGAATTCCATGTGAGAGTTCCCATTCTTTCTTTTACCTGCTTGAAACCTTAGAATTTCTTTGGCCTCTTATGTGTAGTCAAGTGCTGCGCAGTGCGTGCTGCATTTCGGACACAATCTAGCCCAGGAGCACGCAGATTTGCAAGGGATGCTTGTCTAACATCTGTCTAGTTGTTCACTGCCGAGTTATCACCTTCCCAGAGATCCCTTTTCTTCCCCTTTGAACAGAAAGATTTGCTGGGATTGAGTAATTTGACCATCTAAACGATTACTATTACTGGATCTTCATGCTTAGCTGTGTATGTGACACTACCACATAGGGTTGATCCACGGTGCAAGTTGACTCAATATAATGCAGTTTTGTTATTGTCTTGTGTATTGCATTTCCTTCAATTGACTTTTTTTTTCTCGTCTTGATTTAAAAAAGAACCTATGCCTTTGTAAATTGTCTTTATTACGGGAAATGCATTTGGCTGTGTTATTCCCTTAAGCTTTACAAAACTTGGTGTCTCCCTCTCTCTTCCTTATTCTCTGTAAGTGGGCCTGAGGTTACAAAGAATTACACTGTAAATATATTTTAGACACAGCTGTAAAGTATCTTTACAAAATGTGTTGAAGTGAATGTTATCAGTGCTTCTGACTGGGATTAATCTTTCCACAGAATGTAGATTAGAACCTACAAAACAAACAGCAAAAACCCTTGCCGTCCTGTCTAACTGTGCATTTTATGTTTTGCGCATAAGTCCCTGTGTTCGGTCAGACCATTATAACTTATGACATTGTCTTCCGTCTAAATTATAAATGAAAAGTTTGTGCGAGTGTTGCCACATACATAAGCATGTAGATTTCTTTCCAAAGAAAGCTGTCCTGCTTCCAAACTGTCTTTTCCGGTCTTTCATGATCTAGATAATATATTGCAACACAGACTTGCATGGGAAACACCAGTGGTGTTTGTGAAATCTCCTTAGACAAAGAGCACAGAGCGGTGTAAAAGACTTTAAGAACAGATCGTACCACTTAGGATGTATAGGTGAAGAATTTCACTGGAAGACCTTTCTACTTGATATCACCCTTTGACAAGAGTGACTGCATAGATCCAGCAAAAGCCAGAGTAGCACAAACAAGCATACCTGGCTTCTCAAAGTAGCTTTAGCTCACTTCCTGTTTGTTTCATTTCGGAGCTTTTATTATGGTTTATAGGCTCGCACTCAAAATTTATAACATCCTTACAACTTCAGTTATAAAGTTTTTGAAAAACTATTCCACAGCTTTCGTCCCCTGGAATAGAAGGTTGGTTGCATCTTGCCTTTCTCTGCTAGAGGCTGTGCAAGGTGTTGGAGAGAGTAGAATTTCTAAAAGCAGGCACTTCCTGTGTTTGAGGGATACTGCAAGCATTTGCCAATTAAACCTGCTGTTAGCACCCACGAGTGTGTTTTCTCTTGGCTTTTTACTTTTTTTCTCTTCTGAAGCACCAAATTAATTGCTGTTTATTTTGTGTGTTCCTCTCTCCTCCCAAACATTGCAAGACCTCATGAAATGCCTAGAGCTTCATGTGCTTCTGTTCGCCCCCTTTTCATGTCTTTGCCTGTGCCCAAGCATTCCCTAGCCAAGACCCCACAGGGTCTTGGTGGTTCTGCCCTCTCTAACCGGACAGATGTCCACAGAATTGCAAGAAGCACAGCCTGGTCATTGTACTGTACGCTTTGAGATAAGGATATTCAGAAAGATCTGTCTTGCAGGAGGGTCACTCTGCATTGAAAAATCATTTATATGTAATAAAAGGAATTATTCAGTTCTTTAGAATTAAGGACTCAAAGCTTTTTTGACATTTCGTGTTTCCTTAATGGACCTATAGACGTGCAGAGATTTTGTCTTAGTTCTAGCCAGAGCAAAACAGCATATTGCTTTGGGTCTACAGCTTGCAAATAATTACCCTTTACCATGCGTATTAGGGTGTATTTCACATTTTTGGACAAGTCTTCATCACTTGAAGTCAATGGAGATATCCTCATGAGGTTGCACGGACTGTGGATCAGGTCAGAAAGTTCTACGACCTGGTTTTATGGTAACACTTGACTGTGATACACATGCACATATATACACACAGTGTTAGTGTCTGATGCTCTATGACCTGAAAGGTTGTATGTGTCCTAGTATAGTTTCATACAATTGTTTTAGGCCACACCAACCTAGTTGAATATTAACATGATTAAATACAAAAATATTTTAGCTATAGGATAGCAAAGTATTAAAGTAGTACTAAGGCAGCCTTTTCTTCAATAGCGTTAAGTAATCTGCATAGCATTCCTTTGTAGAAAGTGAGCCAGATGTCTGTTCAACCAAATCTGATGGAGAAAAAACGTGACTTTCTGCTCCCAGTCTCGAATTCTACTCCTTTTTGGAGGGGCGCAGTTATGCTTATTTAATTCATTCTGGGTAAATTCAAAGACTTGTTAGCATCCACTCCTGTTTGAACTAATGCAAAGCTCTTACGATAAAGGCTGATGCCGTCTTGATTGAATGTTTTGCGATTAACAGAACCTTATGTCAGTGTTCAATTACTTTATCACTGTTAAAATTTTATACATTTCTAGCATAAACTCATTTAGCTTTCGTTTCCAGCTTTTGAATCCAGCTTTTGAGTCGTGTTGTATATTTACTGAAATAAAGTGCCTTTTATAATATGTACAATTCTGTTGCCTATAGGTGTTCATAGGGCTTGACTGACTTGGTTCGTCTCTACACATTTCTTTTGTTACGTTAAACAGATCGAGTTTCCTGCGTCTATTTTTTTTCTTTCTTCTATTCTTTAATCAAGATTGTAGTATGCCCTTGCTCATTTCATCATACTGTTGATTGTTTTCCTTGAACAGTCAATATTGCCATATTCCTCAGTTTTCCTCCTTTAATTATACTGATGTCCAAGAGAGAGGAGTCTTTCTTTTTCAAGTCCTCCTCTCCATATTTACACATCTGTTTGATGTTGCCAGAAGCGAGGTGGCACTAGGCTGGCCCAGACTCCCCTGGGTCTGCCTGAACAATCTGATCTCCAGTAGCAGAGCCAACAGCAGCTGCTATTCATGGAAAGCAGGTTGACCAAGCCCAGTGCCATGTGTAAACACTAAACCGCATGTGAGAACAACCCCTGCTGCTCTGCCTGTTGAGGAATCATGAGCCTTTGGCTGTGCCATGCCTGCAAAGGCTGTTCTTATCCTAACTTAGCTTTGCAGTTCTTGCAGGCTCAGGTGTGATGATCCAGAGACAAGCTGTGGGTAAGGTATAAGGTTACTGATGTGATTTGTGCCACTGATAATGCCTGACCCGAGGATCCTCTAGCTAGTTAGTACTGGCAAGGAGCCAGAGCAGGCAGGGAGAGAAAGCGAGTAGGCGTCACAAAATGGAACATTTTCCCACTAAGTCTTCTAGTACATGGGGAAATTGCCTCTGTTCCAGAACAACATGAGAAGGAAGAAGGAGATTTCCTCCTCCTTTCTTCCATTCCTCAGACGCTGAACCAACCAAAACTCTGCTCATTTCCGCTGTCATCTCCTATCAGAGGAGGAAATAATGATGAGGTAAGAACATACAGCAAGAAACCAAATGCACAGTAAAAACCACCCCTGCCCTGCTGTGGAGAAAAACAGAGTCCCAGACCTTATTTTCGGCAGAGTCAAAGACTATCTAGACTCCGCTACGCTGCTATTTGAAAGCTGCCCATGATGTCTGCGACAGATAAGAGCACCTGTAAGATTCGAGTTTTGCTGAGTGTGACATTTGGTGTGAGGTTTTAGCTCTCTGTCTCAGTAACCGTTTTTCCTTTACATCCATGTTACAATATCACTGGGGAAATGAGAGCATTGACAGGTTGCAGACCACATATGATTCATGAGGTAATAAAGAGTTTTTTCAGCAGGGGCTGGTCAGGTCTCTCTAGCATAACATGGAATGAAGGTGTCAGAGGAAGTTGTAACTAAGCAGTAACGTGGGCAGTTTTGCAGCTGCTTGATTCTGAGATCATCTTGCCCTTCTAGTGTTTCGTTCTCAGATTCCAGAGGGCTTACTCCAGACCTCCAGATAAATGTGTCTTAACTATCATAAATTTGGAGGTTTGCATTACATAGGTAAATGACTTTTTCCAAATCTTGAAATCATCTAAGTGTTGCAATTCAGATAGCAGCTTGAAGTTCAGTTAACCGTATACTAGGATTCATGTGAGCTTAAATCTCTTGCCTCTGTGTTGGATTTCATTGCATAACACTTGAGTTTTCATTTGCACTAATCTCACGGTTGTGCCTGTCCTGCAGAGGTACCTCCTGCCGCTGTTTCCTCTGTGCACTTACGCATGCGTCTACCTCCCTTGAGGGGCAGAGGTTGATGGGTTTAGTGCATCTCTCTCCTTCAGGAACTACTAGTCCTCCTGGAAAGGAGAGTCCTGGAAAGGAGGATTATCCCTATCACCACCTTATTTCAAAATACTCCTTTGTGGAAGTTGGCAGACCTTCCCAGTTCCATGGTGTTTTGAGCAAGGCCTGGGGAGGAAGGAGCCTTTAGCAAGCCTGGCCCCTCCTGTGATTTCATGAACTGTGAGTCGCAGTTTTGCTGCATGCCTCGCTCACACCCCTGAAGGCTGTGAGATGCCAGTCTGTCTCTGCCAAGGGTTGGGCCTTGGCCTCTTTTGTGCTGGTGGAAGCTGACCTCAAGCTGACATGAATGTTTGCCTGTAAGCAAGAACATACTGAGAGACTGGGAGGTCCTTGCAAGACCCCTACTATTAATAAAGCCTGCGGAGGCCGTCAGCTAGTTGAATTTGGCTTATTTTCTGCACATTACAGGGCTAATCAATGAGGCAGCCCCCCAAACCTTTCCTTGTGCCCTGGGTCCCCGCAGGGCAAGCCCTACTGCAGAGTCCAGGCTTCATTTCCAGAATGCTGTGAGTCATTTTGTAGACCCTTCTCGTGGGGAGGGGAACAGGAGCCTTCTTTCCAGATGGGTATACACTGCAGCAGAAGCACGTGAGGTAGGTTGCTTTCTAGGTCGTAGCCCAAAAGAGATGTGGGAAGTTCCACTGAATTGTTTGACGTGTCTCTAGGATAAAGCACTGCTTATAACACGAGGCTCCTAGTGAGGTGGTGCAATTCCTGTAGATGTCCATGCTTACCCACCTCGACATAGCCAGAGGTGAGTCATAGCTAGCCCTGGCTCACCTTCTTCTTGAGTATAATGCCTTATTTTCTTCTCTTTTGATCTCTAAAGCCAGCACTAGCCCCACATCAGGCCTTGGGACTGCTGCCATCGTAGGCATCCTCATTGTCATCTTTGTGCTGCTCCTGGTGGCTGTGGATGTCACCTGTTACTTCCTGAACAAGTGTGGCCTGCTGATGTGCATTGCTGTCAACTTATGTGGGAAATCTGGCCCAGGAGCCAAGGGCAAAGACATGGAGGAGGGTAAAGCCGCCTTCTCGTGAGTACTGTCATTGCTTCTTACCTCTCAGTCCTCGATCACTGTGTCCGAGGGTTTTGTTTTGCTTCTGCCTCATTCCTGTTAGAGGCTGGCAAATGTCCAACCCCAACGTTGGACAATACAGTTCTCTTTGCTGTAGGTAACGATTGGAAGGGGGAATGACAAAAAACTAAGCTGCTCTTCAGGCCAACCCGTTCCTGTCAAAGTCACCTGTCAAAGTCCCGTGTGTTTGAGACATAGCTCTGCTGGAGGATGCCTAGTGTGAACAGGAACCGATCTCCGTGCAATTCCTTTGTTACAGGAAAGATGAGTCCAAGGAGCCTATAGTGGAAGTGCGGACTGAAGAGGAGCGAACCCCCAACCACGATGGGGGAAAACATACAGAGCCCAATGAGACCACACCGCTGACGGAGCCAGAGTATGTTGATATCGGGCAATCTTAGTTCAGGGTCACTTCAGTGCCCCCTGTTGCCTTAACCCCTGATCTCTCATGTACATTATTCAGAGCAGGAAGAGAGGAGGAAATCTCTACTCCCAATTTCTGGTATAGCAGCAAAGAAATCTCCTGTCTTCCCCCAGATATAGTGACTCTTCTATTTCCAGCACTGGAAGGGAAAGAAGGAGAGTGAAGGACTGCTGCTTGGAACGCTGCCAGTTCTGCCCAGACTGTAGCTTGGTCACCCATCCCGGTTCACTGAAAGGGATCGAGAGCAAAAGCAGCCCCAAGCTGAAACTAAGTCCTGGCCGAGCTCTCCTCTAGCATGCCAGGTGTAGGTGAGAACACACCGTTGGCACAGTGCCCATCTGATAGCAAGAGGGTAACTACGCTCTGAATCCCGAGGGGGGCATGGCGAGTCTGATTATTCCTCGAGATGGGCGAGGATTGAAAGCTTCGTGCAGGTTTTGTCAGAGAACTTGTTCAGAGCCTGCATCTGTGTATCTATGCTAGCTGGGGCTGAAAAGGTATGAGTATTGCATGCCTTGGGGGATAATAATGGGAAGAGTTGTTGAAAAGCTGTGGGATAGCAGCTGACAGAAAAGTGGAGACACCTCTGTGTGTTTGTATCATCTCTGGCAAAAAGTTGACTCCAGCTGACCTGCATCAGAAGGCAGGGGCAAGACAAGGGACTGGCCTCAGGGGCCTGCACTGGGGTCTGGGGTGAGACTTGGCACAGGGCTGCGCGCCTGAGGAATAAGGAGAAAGGTTCATTGTGAGGTTAGGTGAAGGAGTCCAAGGAGGGAAGTTGGACTAACAGGGAAGAGTGTTTTTACAAATTGCCAGCTGGGGGCAGGTCTGGCCAAGGCTGCGACCCAAATCTGTTCAAACAAGCCATTCCTGTAGGATATGTCCTCTCTGCTCTTTCTGCTTTTTGGTCTCCCCAACCAGCGCCTGTTACCCATTGCACCTTTGAATTCTGAAGGGCTTCTCCTCCTTTGCCTCCGTGTTCTCTGTGCGCTGTAACCACACATCCTGCTGCTGCTCTGCCACCCCTCCACCTTCTCACACTTATGTTCTGTTCCCCTTTCCCCTGCTGTCATTTATGGGCTTCAGTGTCTCTCTCTCTCTCTCTCTCTCTCTCTCTCTTCTACTTTTTTTTTTCCCCTCCCCGCCCCCCCTGCCGATACCGCAGCTGCTGTTGAGGACATGCTGCCTTCTGTAACCACGGGCACCACTAACTCTGACACTATCACTGAAACCTTTGCCACTGCTCAGAACAGTCCCACCAGCGAGACCACTACACTGACTTCCAGTATTGCCCCGCCAGCAGCAGCCATTCCTGACTCCACCTCCATGTCGCCTTGCCAGCCTGCTCCAGCCAAAGGGGCAGCTGCCTCGGCCTCTTCAGCACCGCCCTCCTCTACCCCCAAGGTGGCCCCCCTTGTTGATCTCAGTGACACCCCGAGCTCTCCTGCGGCTACTAATAATTTGTCTTCGAGTGTCCTGGCCAACCAAGGCGCGGTGCTCAGCCCCAGCGCTGTGGCTAGCGTGGCCGAGTCCTCCAAAGTGGCACCTGCTAACAAGTCAGCTGCCCCGACCCATGCAAACCTCGCTAGCCCTCCAGCCCCATCAGAGGCCAAGCAGGAGGTCTCAAGCACCAAGAGCCCCGAAAAGGAAGCGGTACAGCCCAGTGCAGTGAAGAGCCCGACAGAGACAGCCAAGAACCCAAGCGACCCGAAGAGCGAAGCTGCTTCAGGCAGCGCAGTCCCCTCCCAGAAGGAGGACTTTAAAATGGACGAGGGGACCTTCAAGACACCAGACATTGATCTTGCAAAGGATGTTTTTGCAGCTCTTGGCACTACCACTCCTGCCAGTGCGACTGGCGGGCAAGCTCGTGAGCTTGCTTCTTCCACTGCAGACAGCTCTGTACCTGCTGCACCTGCAAAGACCGAGTATGGCTGCCTTTAATCTTCTGTTGGTTGTGTGCTGTCTCTTGTGCTCTAGTGCTTGCGCTGTGTTCTTGTTGGATGTTCTCTTAACCGATCTCATTGTTTCCTTAGCAGACTAACTCATCTGTGAACCTGCTAGCCGGGGCTTGGCTTTAGAAGTCCAGGGGGAAAGCAGGAATAGGGTGCATCAGGGCAGCAGCGAAAAGGCAATTCCAGGCATTTATCATTCATGGGTCATTCTTTAGCTTTCTTTCCAGCCTTGTCCAATGCTAGGTTCTCTTTTACGAAGGAGGTCAGAAACATTTCAGGTTGGTGCAAAGACAGCGATGTTCTCAGAGGCACCAAGTCCCGTCAGTTCCCTGAGCAGTCACCCAAATTCAGTTTCTTCACATAGCAGCTGGAGCCATTCCCTACATCCTTCACTGTCAGAGCAGAAGCAGCCCTCATGTGAAAGGCAGGAGGACAACGCCTTCGTGGAGTTGTCCTTGCATGGGCAAAAGGGTAAGGCCACGTGATCCTGCCAAAAAAAGGGCAGCAGTCCATATCACAGCGGGCCGAGCATAACTCGGTCCTGGGTCATTCTGACATAGTGGGAATGAGTCTCCGTGCAGTGTGCTGAGTCTCCTCTTTACATGGCTGCTTTCTTTTGGCAGGCCAATGTAGAGGTCCTTTGGAGCCATATGCCGCCTGGAGAGGGTGCCTATTCCTTAGCTGTGGCGTTTTGTGTTTGGCAGGAGACACTGTAACCTGAGAATGAAAGCAGCATTAACTTCTCAGCCTGGTGTCTGAAGGGAGGGTTCCCAGCAGTTAGAAAGATGTGAAACGAGAGCCCTCTCCCTGTGCCACTTTGGACAGCAGTCAATGATAGCTGTGAAACCAATAGCTTGGAGAATACTGATTGAAAATGCCTAATCCACTCTATGGTACAAGAAGTTAAGTTTGCCATTCCTTCGGGCTTCTTGTTTGGACACCATATTTTGACATTTTGCTCTGGTGCGTTTCACACCACAGCATGCTTCTCATCTCTGCTGCTACCTGAGACCTCCTCTTCTTGCTGTGTTAAGTCAGGGCAGAAGGAAAATCAAGAAAAAATTCTATAGAGCTGAACAAAATCTGGAGGAGGGGATGCGGGGAAAGGCTGATTTTACTTCTGTTGCATTTAGCATTTTGCCCTCTCAAGGAGAGACCTGTGAGTGTTTCCAGAATGTATTCTTTTCTTAGCATCAGTTCCTCTCATTTAAAAAGAGAGATGCCAGTAGACAGCGGTTTTCTTTTTCTCTAATCCATGCCATTTTGGTGATTACAGGAAAGTCCCAGTAGAAGACAAATCTGAAGTGCAAGCGACGGAAACTAAGACACCTCCAGCAGAAGTCAAGACGGTTCCCAATGAAGCGACACAAACAAATGAAAATGAGAGCAAAGCATGATTAGCAACAGATGAAAGCAAATGACAGAACAACAACTTCACCGGAGCATTTAAAACACAAAACTCACCACACATCTCATTCCTCTAGTGTCTTTTGCCTTTTTTAAAAAAACAAAAACAAAAACCAGAAAATGCATATGTGGGGGGTGGGGGAGAGAATCTCTCTTTCTTTTTCTCTCTTTTTTTTTTTTAATTTCTAGAAAAGTTCTATTTGTTGTGCACTTGCTTTTAAGGAGTAACATATTTGAAAAACAGGGTTAAACCCACACCGGAATCAGGGATCAGCTGACCCAGCATATATTAAAATAAGCAAATCTGCAAATACCAGTTACAGCATGGTAGGAAGCTCAAAATCAGCTAGTCTCAGAGAAAAAGAAAGGAAAAAAAAAGACCCTGTTCTTTCCTTGGTTAGTATAGTAGATATAACCACTTGTACTACTTGGTACGGCTGGTACTTAATAAACAAAGTCCACAATTTATTTTTATACTTTCCAGTCAAGTTTGAAATATGTAAAGCCTCATAAATAACTTATAATTTCTGTTCACCTTGTATTTGTTCAGTATGCAAAGTGTCTTGTGCTCTTTGTGACTGAATCCTGTTCTTCACGTTAGATGTTTATTTGGTTGGGTGGGTTTCTTTTTTTAGGAAGAATGCCAAAATTGCAGCTTCGGGGATATATTTCAATTTGCAGTATTCAGACTCTACATTTCTTTAAATTTTATGTTAATTTTTTGCCAACTTTTGCTCTTTCCAGTGTTTACAATTTTTTTTTCTTTTGTTGTGTTTAAATGTATGTGTAAAATAGCTGCCTTTTTTAAGTAAATACAGTCTATAGATACTAGGTTAGTAGCATGCTTGCTTTGCAAAGGGAGACATTTTTAAATATGGATGTTTACAGTAGTTGTTTCCCCTTTATTTTTTTTAATTATTATTATTATTATTATTATTATTATTTCTTACTGGAGTAAGAAGAAAAGTAACGCTGTTCTTGTTTTTCCCTTCCCCCCCACCCTTTTTTTTTTTCCTTTTTAATTTGTGGGTATTCAAACCACTTATCACCGATCAAGGTCTTTATCCAGCAATCCACAGAAACACCCTTAACTTTGACCAGGACAGTTGCTGGTGGGAGTCCTTGTTTGCTTCAAGTTAGCAAAAGTTTAAGTCCCTCGCTGGACTTGGGCCTGACTGCATAAGAGAAATATCATCTCTGCTTTTCGAAGACATTCTACCCTTTTCTTCATGGAACTCTCCCAGAGCTTTGGCAAGCAGAAGGGAGATTGTACAGTTAGGGCTGGTCTGGTCTGCTCTAGCCTCGGGTGCTTGATGCTACCACTTCTCCCCTAGGAGGTCAGCGGATACCATTTCTTTTGACCCTAAAAAGCAGGTTTAAAAGGGAAGAGTTTATCCGTGTCAGGAAAATAATGTCATCTTCTGAGGACCTTCTCTCAAAAAGGAGTGTTCTTCCCTCATGTGGCTCAAATTCATGAGCGCAAGAGTCACGGTGCATCAAGACAACTCCTGAAAAGGCAGCGCCATTGCATGTTTGCCATCTACCTGTGCTCTGCAGAATCCAAACCTGGGCACTGGGAGCTTGGAAATCTGTGGGAGGACTCACATTGATTTCATTGGTCTTTGGATCGTGTCTTTGACAGAAAGGGAGGATGAAGTAGCACGCACATGATCATTATGCAGGGAGAGTTTATTGGGAACAGTGACCATATGGACTTGCAGAGTAGCGGTGAGATGTGGGGGTATGGAAGGAAACTTGAGCAAGGGAAAAGTAGAGGTAAGTGGGAGGAGACCAGCCCGTTGTATAGAGATGTTCCTTCTTTTGTGGGTTGTTTTCGGATTTTTTTTTTCGCTTTTTCTCTCTCTCTCTTTTTTTTTATTTTTTTTTAATTCTGCTTTAGATCTGCAAGCTTGTGCACTGTGGGTGCGTGACTATTTTAGTGTGAGCTGTGTTGTCATAGTATTGAACTGAATAATAAAAGCTTCAGCATAGTTTGGATGTGGAAGGTGTAGCAGATAGTTCAAATTTGAAAAACTTGTTCAGGCAGAAAGAAAGCCTGAAGAGAACAACTCTTGCGTGGAACAGAAGCCTGTAAGTGCAAAATGAAAGCGAGCTGACTCTGGCATCCCTTCCGTTGTGCAAGGTAACGGAGCGAAGGGCGGTGGGGATGGGGTGACTGTACTTTGGCTCAGATACAGGGAGCCATTCTCGTCAGTGTGTTCTTCTAATTATGCAGTCTTTAACAGTGACATCACTAGATTGTAATTTCAAACTGTGAAAAATAATGGTCTTGTCATTTGCTAAGTGTGGGGTTTTCCGCATTTTTTCCTCAGCTCCTGGGGATGGACATGGAGGATGACTGAGTATATAGGCACAGGCAGTTGTGCAGAACCCATCCTGAACAGGGCATCAGCGCGGGCTGGGCTTCCAGTTAGAAGCCTCATGTCAAATGCTGCCCTCGCTTGACCCGTCACAGCAGTGTCGGTGTAACTACAGGCAAATTTGGCCCGTGGTCCCTAGGAGGGTTTTTGCAGGAGGTTAGCCTATAAAAGCGACAGCACGAGCTACGATGGTCTGCAGCTGGGGAAAGTCCTTGGGAGAGCGGAGGACTAGTGGGCTTACAGTGGGTACCTCCATCCCTGGGACGAGCATCATAATTAGTTCAGCGTTTCTGTGAAGTCGTGGATGAGTTTTGTCAGCTGCATGTTGTACCTCACGAGTTATTACCCACTGAGAGCTGAGCAGCAGCTAGGGAGCAAATGCTGCAATAGGCTAGCGACCAGAAAGGCCTCCAGCGACCCTGGTGGGCACCTGCCAGGAGATGAAGGGTGGTAACCGCTCCCTGAATTGGCCTATCCTTCTGAAAAGGCAGCCGGCTCCGGGCCCATGCCCTACCCAGCGCCGTGTTAGAAAGAGCTGTGCTGACTGCGGGGGGCAGGCTCCGGGTTTGTGGCATGTCGTCCAAAGCAGAAGTGAGCCCTGGGATGACCTGAGCGCCGGCATGTGCGTCCAACTCCTTTTTAATGCACGTCGACACCTCCCAATACCCAATGCGTGTAGATTGACTCTCAAGAGTGTTTTTATACGTGCCCTTAAGGGAGAAAAATTTGCTTTAATTTAGAAATACCCCACCCCAATACTTCCAAGATAGCCTAGGCTTCGTTGCTTTTATTTAAACCTAGAGAGAGGGGCCAACCTGATGCCGTTTACGCTGTATATGTTTATATATGTATCCATGACATACATATATATATCTATATGGCAACTCGGACTGATCAGCCTCTAGTTGTGGAGTGACTACATTTCATGCTGCGCCATACGTAAGATGATGAGACAATAGTGCATCCTGCTGTTCAGCATTTCCAGTGGAGTTTTATTTTCACACTTTTCTATCGAGCCGTCAAACCCCAGTTTTCACACTAGGCTGTTTTGATAGTTGTTCTCGACCCTCCATTGACACCCTTTCCCAGCGTTCCCTACTTTTGGGGGCCTTCTATCTTGATAAAAAAAAAAAAAAAAAAGGAAAAACAAAAAATCTTTTTACCGAGTGAAGCATCGATTCCACCTTTATTCCCATTCTCACCGGTGTAAATACTGATACTAACTGAGGATTTTGACTTTGCATTCTGTCAGAATACTGTGTTCAAATAAAAATTACAAAAGTACTGCTCATGCCCAAAGTCTGCCCTTCTTTCCATGGTGTGCTCCGTGCTGGGTGCGCGCACGGGGGCGCAGCCGCGGGTGAGCTTCCCTGTCGAGAGAGGTGCTCTTGAGCCATTGCCACCACGCGAGCGGAGCAGGGGCCCGAGGCTCCACACGGCACCTGTGCAGGGCCCTGCAAATGCCCGCGCAGCCAGGCTGCAGCATTCAACCTTTCTCCACCGGGCACGTGTGCCTTTGCTGTAAACGGTGTCCTGAACCCCACGCTGATGTCTTCCAGAGGCAGAAAGTGGGTCTGTCAGAGTCTCGGTGGTTCCTGATGAACAGGGCAGAAAACTGCCCTGGAGTGCAGACTTCCCTGATTGGCTCCTCTGCGCACCCAGTTGCTGTGTCAAGTCTCTGTGGTTGCCCTTAGTCGCTGCAGCAGCTGCTTTCCTGAATCGCGTCTGTCCCTGCGCTGCACAGTGCCTAGTGGTTTCTCTTTTGTGGCTTTGCAGGCTCTCGTAATGAGCAGCAGGAGCCAGATTTCCAAAGTTTTGCAGTTTTATCGCTAGCAATGAGGTCTCCTCTTGGGTGCAAGAGGAGACCCCGGGCAGTTTCTGGTTATAGATTTGGACAATACTAAGTTGTTACATACTCGATACTTAGTTTACACAACCAACCATATCCACAATTCTTAGTTCTGCCAATCCCCCTGCCCTGTATAGTTCTGTGGCAGCCTTATACAGTCCATCTTGCAATTATTCATTACCTGATTTGGCACTTCTTCTGGTGCTGCCCTTGAACAACTTCTGTAATGTCATCTGTATTCTTTGCAAATCTGCAACTTTGTTTGAAAAACAGGGCTAAGGCAAGGTCAAAAAAGGTGTTCTGCATGCAGGGTGCTGTGTCCTCTTTCCATGGAGGGCAGGGGGCGAAATGCATTTTAAAACAAAGTGAAAGACTGTGCCATAAGATGGCATGACCTAGTGCAGCTGGAGGAATGGAGAGCACAAAACAAGAATGGCTGCACAGGAATGAAGGGCAGGGCCTCAGTACCTGCTCCTACTGTGGAGGTAACGGCTCAGCATACGGCTATGAAATGCAATGGAAATGACCCATCTTGAACACAGTACGAGAAACTGTAGCCTAAGCAATTTAATGTGTTCTTAGAAAAACAAAGGCTGAACAAAAAGAAAATTGAAAGAAGAACAAAAACAGTGTGCTTTATTCTGCTTGACCGTTTTCTCCAGGCACTAAGGCCTACTAGTAGACTCCAATGCTGGATGAAATCCAGGCAGACTGGTACAAAGGTAGATGTCTTCACTTAATATGATATTAACATATATTGCAATCAAAAGCAGATCAAAAAGATTCTGGCAGAGTGCATGTGAATTCTCTTATATTTTCAAAGATTTGATGTATGCCATTAGCATACATTAGAATCTCCCAGCATCTTGCAGAATCTGACAAAATCCAACAGATGCCAAGAGATCCTATTAGAAAAAGACAAATTCCAAAATCTCTGTATGAATTTGGCAGAATATAAAAAAAAATGACACATTCCACTAGAACCTGACATGTGATGGCATAATGAAATCTAATAAAAATTGACAGATTTTATTAGAATCTGACAATCTAATAGAATTAGATGAAATCTGACAGCATGTAATACAACCTGTCAGAATCTGACACATTCTATTAAATGCTGTCACACACGAGCTCCGATTCTGTGAGATTCTATTAGATTCTGTCGGATTCAGTCAGATTCAATTAGGTTTTATCTGGCTCTAGTAGATTTGCCAGATTCTCTTAGATTCTGTCAGTTTCTATTAGATGCCATCAGATTCTGTCCAATCCTTGTGGATTCTGTGAGATTCTGGCAGATTCTATTAGATTCTGTTAGATACTGTCAGATTCTATGAGATTCTGTCAGAATCTGTTAGATTCTGTCAGATTTTGTCAGATTCTGTCAGTTTCTGTCGGATTCTGTCAGATTTGTTAGATTCTCTCAGATTCTTCTAAATTCTATTAGCTTCTGTCAGATTCTGTCAGATTCCAATAGATTGTCAGAATCCATTAGATTCTGTCAGATTCTATTAAATTCTGTCCGATTTTGTCAGATTCTATTACATTCTGTCATATTTTCATAGATTTTATTTGATTCTGTTAGATTCTGTCACATTCTATTAGATTCTTTCAGCTTCAAGTAGCTTATTTGATTCTATTAGATTCTGTCACATTCTGGGAGATTGTCATATTCTGTACAGATTCTATTGGATTCTGTCAGATTCTGGTAAATTCTGTCTGATTCTATCATATCCTATTCATTTTTGTCAGATTCTGATAGATTTTCAGATTCTATTATATTCTGTCAGATTTTAATAGATTCTATTTTTAGTGGATTCTGACAGATTCAGATAGAATCTATTGGATACTGTCAGATTCTGTGAGGTTTTTTTTGATTCCATCTAGTTTTGTGCAATTCTCTTACATTCTGTCCGATTCTGTGACTCTCTCATATTCTGTAAGATTCTGTGAGATTCCATTAGATTCTGATAGTTTCTAATAAATTCTGTCATATTTTATTAGTATGATTAGAATGTGTGGGATTCTATTAGATTTTGTCCGACTGCCACATTATATTCTACTGTTAGACTCTGATTTTGTCTGATTTTCAGATTACATCTGAGTCTATTAAAATGTGTAAGATTCTGACAGATTTTGTAAAATTTTTATATTTGTTTTATAATGCATTATATATTCTATCAGATTTCTATGGATTCTCTCAGATTCTAATAGGATTGTACAGATTCTGTCCTTTTCACTTAGATGCTTCAGATATTAATAGAATATGTCACATTCTGTGAGATTTTATTTGATTCCGTCACATTCTAATAGAATGTGTCAGATTCTCTCATATCCGATTAGGTTCTTCAGGTTCTATTACTTTTTGATTTTTTCCAGTTCTGTAAGAATCTGTCAGATGATTGTTCTGTATTTTATCATCTTCTATCAGATTGTACGCAAACATTGCAGAATCTAATGGAATCTGACAGAATCTTACAGTGTCTGATAGCTGCCATGTAATAAAATCTTACAGATTCTAATAGATTCTGTCTTATTCTGTTACATTACATTGTATTAGAATCTAGCAGGATCTAGAATGGAATGTGACATTATTTAGTAGAATCTAAAAGGACCCTTATAGAATCCAAAAGAATATGCAAGAATCTAACAGGATTTGACATAACTCTCAGATTTTGAGTGAATGTGGCAGAATGCCATAGAATCCGATATATCTGTTGTAAACGATCCGATCTTATTGAATTGGTCTGACTTTCATGGGTTCTGGCAAATTATGTCTGATCTTATTTGATTTGAATGCAGCCTCACCGATTCTGAATGATTGTATTAGAGAGAGTGCAACAGATTTGGACAGATTTCAAAGATTTTGTTTTCTAATCAGATTTAGAAGAGTCTTTTTATTGGGTTTTTTTGCTTGCTTGTTTGTTTTGTTTGTTTGCTTTTGGCTTTTTGGCGGGGGATCCTTAACCTGCTTAATCGTCTGTTGTATGTTGCAAATATAAAAAGTGTTTCTTCCCGCACCTGTAGCAACATAACTGCATAGGTCTCTTTTAACCTTGTGCTGAGTATTTGCCAGTGTCTGCGCTCAGAAAGCTTAGCACACCATACTAAGCTGTGCATATGGACGTTTATTTGTCCAGCGGGTGCTTTGAACTGTGCAAGCAGTAATCGAGCAAAGACGTGTGTGAGATCTGTGAGCAAGGCGAGATGCTCACGCTGCCCGGGCCTGCCCCTTGCAGAGCGTCCCCTTTGCAAGCATCGAAGCTTCTGACTGCAAAGCGAGGAGCCGCGTAGCACAGTGCAAGCGGCACTGCCTGCGTTGGGCCAGAAGAGGGACCCCGTATTGCATCCTGGAGGGAAGGACCGTGCCCCAGATACAATCCAGTGCAGGTAACAGGTGGGAGTTTGGTGCCTCTTCACCACTACTGCCAGCAGCAACGCAGTTCGGCGGCCATGCTCGCTGCCAACCTCTGCACGGGGCAAGAAGGATGGCAAAGTCGCTGGGAAGGGGGACAGGAAATTGGCAGTGAAGGGAGCTTACACCTTCCTGCCGAGGCCTCCCGCGCCAGCAACTCTGCAGAGTGGGCAGGAGAGAGCAGGGCAATCCCTGCCTCTTGCCCTGCCTTGCTTTCAGTAAGAAAGAGCCCTGTCTCCCTTCCATAGTGTCCCCGAGAGACTCTCTCTGCACGGCGGGGACTGTATGGCCAAGAGGTGTTTTCCACCCTGTGCCCAGACACCCTCCACCCGCCTCCTTAGCTATGTGCAGAACAGTGCCAGTTGAACTGCAGCTGGCCGTATGTGTAGCGCAGAAGCACAAGTTGCACCTGCGCTCTGAACGCTCTAGAGGACACGGCTGCTTCCTGCATCTCCGGGCAAGAAGCTGGCAAGAAGGGCCAGGAGCAGCCTTTGCTCGGCTCTGAGCAGCCCGGCAGCTGCTTGGTGCAGGAGGCGCCTCTGCAGGGGATTACTGGATTACCACAGGGGCTGGCAGAGCACAGCTGGGTCAAAATTCAAGACCTGCGCTCCTCTGTGCTGGCCCTGAGAGCCCCAGGACACCGGAGGGCACCGGGAAGCAGCGCGGGCTGCGGCCCGGGCTAGTTGGGCGCATCTAGTGCCAGCCGTGGCCTGCGGTGGGGCTGCCGCTTCCCGCGGGGCCGCGGAGCGCGGGGAC